TAATGGTATATTATAGAAAGAACCCCTTGAGCAAAAAATAGAGTAAAGCTAGAAACAGTAGCTGGCTAAATGCAGTGAAAAAATGTGTGAATAATTTTAAGAGTTTTTCTGATGACAAACAGAAACAAACAGATTCTTTCAGGTGACCAGACAAGGGGTGCTGCTTTCACCAGGGAAGAACCCTAAGAATTTAACAAAGGGCATAGAGAAATATTGATTAACAAGGAAAGGAATAAAATAACCTCCAGAAAACGAAAATAATTATAAACATGAAGAGCAAGTAGGTTGGAATTTTTATAATTTTGCTGGAGTGTTCAAAAAATTAAATAATTAGATGTTTTAATTTAAATATGATTTTTAATGAAATTACATACCTTATAAAATTGTATCCATTGTACACACACACACACACACTCTATGGGGGTGTACAAAACATGCATGCTATGCTTCATAACTAGTCAAGTGATTTTTTAATGGTATAGTGAACTATGACTTCACTGTGTTTTAACTGTGTGGTTAACTATATATATTATTACACATTACCAATTAAAATAATAATACTTCTCAATGATGTAATGTATGGGGATTAACATAAGAATAAAAAAAAAGTAAAAAATAAAAAAATAAAATAAATAAAATAATAATACTTCTCAAAATATGAAATTACTTTTAAGCTTTGTTTACTGAGTTTGTTTTTAAATAATCACCTACCAAGAAATTAACATCGTAAGTAAAACTGTCATGTTCAAGAAATTTATTTTAAAAACTGTTATTATTAGAGCACCTGGCTTGCTCACTTGGTAGAGCACACCTCCTGATCTCGGGGTTATGAGTTCAAACTCCACATTGGAGGTAGAGCTCACTTAAAAAAAATAAAATACGGGTGCCTGGGTGGCTCAGTTGGTTAAGTATCCAACTCTTGATTTCGACTCAGGTCATGATCTCTGGGTCCTGGGGTCGAGCCTCATGTGGGGCTCCACGCTCGGGGGAGGGGGGTCTGCTTGAGATTCTCTTCCTTTGCTCTTCCTCCTGCTTGAGTACTCTCTCTCTCTCAAATAAGTAAATCTTGAAAAAAAATAAAAATTTTAAAAAATTATTATTTTGATCTGATTTGAAGTTTCAGCTTCAGTTTCAATATATCTGCTTTCTGCAAGATGTATTTCTAATATAAATCCTACTCCCTACTCTAACCCATGAAATCACATTTTCATGTTACTACTATCTTTTTGAAGAAAAAAATATATGATCACTGTATCTACGAGTTGTCCTTCATCTTGTTCGGAATTCTATACATCCCCCTAAACAGTTTGTTCAGAATTCTATACATCCCCTTAACCATTGGGCAAATTTTCTTACTGGAGAATAACGACTACCATTTGTAATTAAAAGCCTCATAATTCTATGTTAGGCCTACCAAAAATTCTTATAATAGCTCTTAATTAGATGATTCTGAAATATTGTCTCCAAATTCAGTTCAATCTTAAGGTATGTTTCAGTTCATGACAATCTCTCATTTGTAAATGTTGAAATCCTCAAACTACCTAGTGACACTTTAGAGATATGAAAAACAACCAACCTGATACCTTTTTTCCTTCTAACGCTAGAAAACTAACTTTTATGACAATGTGTACTTTGCACAACCAAATAGTTTCAAAGTATAAATGTGTAATAACATGAGATGAACACAAGGCATGTTATTCCATTACATCTTTAGCAGAAGGTTATCTTTACCACAAAGATCATTTTAAACTTGAATAAGGTGTCATGGTGACTTTCTGAAAGCAATAATAATACCACTAACAATAACAAAAAAAAATAACAAAGTTATCTGATTTCAAGCTAGATTTACAGACAAGAGCATTAAGTAATATCATTCTATATGTTATAGTTGATTCAGTCTCATTCACCAGCCCTGGGTCTATTACCAATAGCACTTGAGTTTCTTTTTTAAAATATAGATGCTCAGTGCCTAATCTAAGAGAATCAGTTTATAAAGACCTAAGTTTTTTTTCCTACAACCTTCAAAGAGGTTGCCAAGGTACAGCCATGTTAAAAAATCACTGGCATGTGCCTTCCACATCTATCATCTATAATATAACAATGAGAACTGTGAAGGCAAGGTTATATCCTCAAAGATTAACAATATTTACTATGTAAAATTTACTATGGCAATAAGATTGAAATACTTAAAAATACTTTTTAGAGCAATAAGAAATTAGTATTGACACAAATATTCCTATTTATTTAAACATCATAAAACACAAAGCTAACTCCTCAGGTGCACTCAAGTTAAATATGCCATAAAAGTCCAAGGGTAATGTACTAAAGAGAAAAATTAGCAAGATGACCTTTTTTTCAGACCTATTTTCCAGTTGGTTCATTATGTAATGGTTGTATTTTATTCCCAAAAAATATACTCCATAAGGAAAACAATTATTTTGGAAGACATTTTCTGAAATATAAAAATACTTTTCCCAGGAAAATATTCCAACATTTGATGCCACAAACTCAAGAGAATAAAAACAGATTTGGGGGGAGAGCTTTATTGGGAACTGCACAAAAATAATCAAATGACATAAAACAGAATACTTTTATCCTATGTTGAATCACATGGTTGCTTTACGTTTTTGTTAATATTGTTAATGTTTTGTTGTTAATTGTTAATGTTATGTTAAAGTATAAAACTGTTCAAAATGTTATTCTTTCTCCCACCTGAACAATTTGCTTGAAAAATGACACTGATATTTGCTTCTATCTTTCCACAGCATTAAGAAACATTATGAAACCTAAGTGTCTGATAATTTGTTGCAAAATTAAGAACATAAAATGGACCCAACCAAACAGCAGCATGTGGTACTCAAGTGGAAAGACTACTACAAGTTTTAGGAGTCACAAAAGCTAGATGTACCAGGAATGCTGCATGGTTTGGGGCTTAAAATTCTGGAAACGAGTCTATTAACACCTTGTTACAAAACTATTAGAGAGGTTAAGATATGTGTAAAAAGCCCTTAGCATACTATCTAATCCTTAGAAACAATTAACAAATAGTAATTAGAATAATGATAATCTGATCTCTCTCTCACTCAAACTAATACCTCTAATAGTTTTCATGTAGGTAAGCTTTTTTGATACATAAACTCTAAAATATAATAATCTTGAACAATATGGAAGGAATAAAAATAATTTCCCAATATGTTAGCTACGAAATAGCTCAACATTAACTTCTTCATTAAAGTATAGAGAGTAGATGGAAACTCCTTGAAGAATCTTCTGAAAAAGTTCAAAATCTCACTTCATAGATTTTTAACAATAACAACAAATTCTATACTTTTCTAGGATTTTTATTCATAAAAGAAAAACAAAACAAAACAAAATTCCTTCATTCTACCTCCAGAGAAGTAAGCTTACTGTCTCATCACCACAGCCAAAAAAGTATGTTGACAGCCCCCAGCCTGGCAATGACAATCATAAAAAGGAGCCTAGATTCAGTACGTCATTTAACTCATTTTTCAGGATCTCAGCACTAATTTATAAGCCAAGACAATCCAATTTTGATAATGAGTTATCACTTCAAATTATTAGTCCAAAAAGGCAAAGATTTAACTATTTAGTATCTAAAAATCCTAAAGGCAGTGGATTCTTTTTAATGATTAATCACAGACAGATACTCACAGTTTAGACTCCAAAAGTATGCTTAATGTTATCACTAGGAATTTCCTTCCAAATGTGTAACAGTATAAAAACCAAAGTTCTTATTAATAGGCATAATTTTCTTTATATGCCACCACTTGAAATAATTTTTCAAAGTATGTGCCTTTATGATGTTTAAGAGCAAAAGTATACCTCTTAAATCCATTAAATGTGTTATTCTCTGGTTTCTTTTAATTTATCAGGAAGTTTCATAATAGCTTAAAATTGGCATATTACTTTACACGATCAATTAAAAGTACTCTCAACTACAGTTAAATATATTTTAAATATCAAGTAGGCTTCATCTATAAAATGACACAAAGAGAAGAAATATTTTCGGGCGCCTGGATGGCTCAGTTGGTTAAGCGACTGCTTTCGGCTCAGGTCGTGATCCTGGAGTCCCTGGATCGAGTCCCTGGATCGAGTCCCGCATCGGGCTCCCTGCTCGGCAGGGAGCCTGCTTCTCCCTCTAACCCTCCCCCCTCTCATGTGCTCTCTCTCTCTCATTCTCTCTGTCTCAAATAAATAAAATCTTTAAAAAAAAAAAAAAAAGAAGAAATATTTTCACTATAAAGGTCCACTGGGTAGCTAAATTTAGTATTTCAAAAAATACTTTCATTTAGCTTTGTGCAGTGACAGTATCGTAGCCAATGAGGTTTATCCGAGGCGCGGTTATTGCTAATTGAAAACTTTTCCCAAAAAATACATTCATTTAATATTTAGAAATTGGTAGGACTACAGATAGCGTAATTAAAATTAAGCAAACTGGGTAAGTGCACTGTATTTCTGGTTCTCTGGAAAATACTCTTATTCAGTTACTTCCATTCCTAGATATGTTCTGGGTTTCCATTTTGTCCCCACATCTTACATCTTTAGCTCTACTGTCTCTATACTCCTTTCTTTACTTCTATCATCTTCCTACACCAAGTAACTATATCTGTATGTTTAATTTAAATGCATCTTTGCTCATACCCACTAATACTAAAATGCTTGCATTCCTATTTGTAATTTACGTAATTTAACAGTGCTCCATATGTCAAAACTAATATGGCAACACAACAGACTGATAAAGTGCTCACATACGGATACAATGTACAAAAGCCTTCAAAAGGGATGCTCGAACCTAGAATGTCCGTTCTCCTGGCCCTATACTACTAGTGTGCTGAAATTAAAATTCCATTCATAATCTGTCACTGAATTTATCTCTAAAATGACATATACACATGCTGTCAATTAATGTATTTGAGAACCTCTACATGACAAATTTCTGATAATTTCCTCTACTTTGTACAATCCTAACAGATACATACCTATGTCATATGCCAGGAAATCGGCAGAAAAACATTTTGCACCGTTACTCAAGGAAGTGTCATTATGGGTATTTCCTCCAAAAATAAGCATAGCTCCATTGATAAGAACAGCTGAATGAAGGTATCTGGCAAACCCACTTTCTTTCAAAATAGTCCTACAGGATAAAATTTAAAAATGTATTACAAAGGATAAAGAGACCTCCCTGATTTTATATATATTATATAAAGGGTCTAACTTGCATATAGAATTTTCCTTTGAACTATGAAAATAACATGCTTTATTTTTTTTAACAACTCATAAATGGCCTCTAAATTTCAGTATTTTTAAAATATTTTGAGATTCACAGTATCTTAAAATATTTTGAGGAAGCACAATATTAAACATAATTGTTCATGGTTTTATAATAATTTATATTTTGAACTTTTATAAGTAGGAAACATGTGTCCTTAAAACTAGAGGACCAAAGTACCATCGGTTTTAAATACAAAAGTAAATAGAAAGTTGAATATAATAAATTTACTCTGAATTGTATTCAGTTAAAACTAATAATTCATATGGATCTCATAATACACTAAGTTTTTATTTAAATATAACATACATAAAAATGCACATAAGTCTAAAATTCAATAAATTTTCACAAGATGAACACAACTAAGTAAACAGTACTGAGATTTTTTTTAAAAAGATTACCACTGTTCTGATTCTTTTGTGGTTCCATACCAATTTTAGGATTATTTGTTTTATTTGTATTGTTGTCGGTGTACTTTATAAAACAGAATCATATTCATTTGTATGTACATTCTTTTGCTCAAGATTATTTTTGAGATAGATCCATATTGTGTAAAATCACACTGCATTTTTGAGAAACACCAAATTAATATAAATGTTTTTAATTAATTGAAGTTTAACTGAAAGTACTATAAATATATGCTCACAATTATATTTCACCTTAATGTACTAATAAATAATAAACTGCATTACTCAATATGAATCAATATGAATCAATACTTCTTAAGTATTCCTAAATAAAGCACTACTACTAAAAAAGAATCAGAATGTAAACCCAGTACATATAGTATAGTGAGTAAGGTATATATAGTATATATCTCAAAAACCTATAGCAATTATGCTTAAAGAATATGGAGCTGACTTCCGAAATAGCAAGATAAGGAGTTCCACAAACTCTATAGGGAGAGAACTATAATTGGTAAAAATTACCAAAAAAAAAAAAAAAAAGACATTTAAGTTCTCAGAAAAATTTAGTGAGAGCAACAAGTAAATATTTACTCAAGGATGTCTACTGAATTTCAGTAAGAACAGCAGCAGTCCATGATATTTAACACATTGTTTAGTCCCATCCTTCCCCATATCAGCATCCTCCCCAACCACACACACACAACCAGTTCAGCATGGAGGAAGTTTAGCCCCCGGTGGGTAAAGCTAAGAACAGAGAGCTCCTTCATTCCTCAGCTCCTAGTCCAGGCCACTGACACCTAACCAGGAACAGCAGACGGCCAATACTTCTCATGGCCCCCAGTTCTGGGTGACAAAAGCTCTATTCCAGGAGAAAGCATGAGAGGTCTGAATGTTCATCCTCTACCTAGCCCCCCATTCATAGGGTATAAGCTATACGCTCAGGCCTAGCAGGCTGAGGGCCAACAAATCTTCACCCCATATCAGTCATAGGACAGAAGTTCTATGCAAGCTGAGAAGAGCAAAGGCCACCGTCCCCATCTACTGCCTGCACAGAACACAGTGGTATCACTCCAGGAGGAACAGACTACTAACCCCACCTACAATTCCAAAGTAGTGGCACAGAGTCTCACCCCACCCCACACGGGAGAGGCAGGCTAAGAAAAAGAGAGCACCACAGATCTCCCAAGGGAACTGAGTTTATTTGTAACAAAAGGTGGGAAACTTCATGCCTAAGGGCACTCTCAAAAACTATGGAGGTTTCCATTGTAAGCAATTAAGTTGTAAGGTGGCAACTCCGTAAGAACAATCAGCTAAAACATAGAACACAGAGTTCACCAGAGAAAAGCAGGGAAAAAGACAGCTAATAAGAGCCCTACTAGGGTCAGAATCTCTAAGACTGGCCTCAAAGACTACCCATGAAAAAGGGTTGAAATTGAATTCAAACAGACTAAGGAGCAATTTATGCCCCAGAGCATTGTAATGCAGAGTAGTGGTGGCTAGCATGTGGTTGTAATGCAGAGTCAGATAGCTTACCAGAGAGGTCAGAGGAAAAAGTCAGAGAACCCTGCTAAAATTACCATCATCCAGGGACGATTTTGTGCATCCCCAGGCTGCTTCCTTTGAGGAACAACATCAAAGGATCCACTGGAGGAAGAGAGCAACTTCACTAAAACAGTTCAGCAAAGTCACTAAATAAATAAAATTACAACAGTTCCAGAAAAGGAGGAAAAACCGGGATCCAGAGTTGCTATAGTATGTTATCTAAAATGTCCAGTGCTCAGGGGAAATTATGGCAGGCAACGAAACAGGAAAGAGTAACCTATACACAGGGGAAAAAAAGCAGGCAAAAGAATTGCCTTAGAGAGACTCCAGATGACAGATGAAGCAAAAAAGACTTCAAAGCAGCTATTATAAATGTTCAGTCTTAAAGAAAACAGATTTAAAGAAGTAAAGGAAAATATAACAATGTCTTATCAAATATAAAACAAAAGATACAGAAATTACCAAGAAAAAGAAAATCTAGAATTCAAAAGTATAAGAGTTGAAATTTTTAAGTTTATGACAGAAGTCTAATAGTAAATTTCAGCAAGCAGAAGAAAAAAATCAATGAAGTAGAAGATAGAAAAATAGAGATTCCTCTATCTGAAGAATAAGAGAAGAAAATGAACAAAGCCCATAAGAAATGTAGAACACCACTAACCGCAACAACATACATTTACTGAGAATACTAGTGCAGAGGGGAAAGCGGTAAAAAATTTTCAAGAAATAATGTCTGACAACTTCCTGAATTTGAGAAAAACATTAATATACACATCCAAATAGCTCAATGAACTCCAAGGAGGAAAAAACACAGAAAGAACCACATTCAGACATAAAATAGTAAAAACATTGAAGACCACGGAGAAAGAGAAAATCTTAAAAGCAGCAAGAGGAAGATTTTTTTGCATACAAGAGAACCCCAATAGGACAAACAGCTGACTTCACATTAGAAACAATAAAGGTCAAAATGCAGTGAAATGACATATACAACATGATGAATGAAAAAAAAATGTCAAAATACAGGGAGTGACATATGATGATGGAATAAGAGTTTTCTGACCTCATCCTCCCACATAAACAGATTTTATCAACTATGGAGAGGTAAGAGTACTTTTAGGGGAGCCCAGAAGTCCCAGGACCACTTCAAGCAAAAATTCCAAGAATAGGAGGCTCTAGGAGGGTAAGAAGAACAATATCATATTACCACATCACCTCTCCCCCAAGGCAACACCACTCAATCCCAAGAGAAACCCCTTCGACCTACAATTACTCCCATGGGGGAAGTGAGAACATAGTGCGTATCTGGCTTCCACAGCCAAGTAGGATTATGCCCAAGAGGACCACTTCTTTCTTACCCCACCCAGAAAGATAAGATTGGCAGAGGAAGAAAAAAGGGTGTTCACAGCAACTGGGGCACAGAACTCAACAAAGACTCAACATTTCTACTAACCATCTCATGAACTCTACCAAAAGTCCCACCCATGAACTTCATAGGATACATCACCTGCAGACATACCCCAAATAGCACAAATATGCCCCCAGCAATCCATAAATCCCTCCCCCACATAGCACACTTGAGCTTCTGCAGATGGTTCATGAGCACACATAGATAGCTGGGTCAACTCTGTTGCATTGGTAGAAGATGCATAACCCTGAACACTTCAGGCGCTGTCCAAGGGGAAAAAATGGGAGGCCCTCAGTACTGGACCTAGCTTTGCAGAATGGAGAAAATATAATATCCAAAATATATAAAAACTCGCAAAACTCAATAAAAAAAGGAACAATCCAATTAAACAATGGACAGATGATATGAATAGATATTTTTCCAAAGAAGACACACAGATTATCATCAGGTAAATGAAAAAGTGCTCAACATCCCTAATCATCAGGGAAATGCAAATAAAAACAAAATGAGATATCACCTCATACCTGTTAGAATGTCTATAATAGAAAAGATAAGAAATAAGAAGTGTTGCTGAAGATGTGGAGTAAAAGGAATTCTTGTACACTACTGGTGGGAAAGTAAATTGGTACAATCAATTTGGAAAATAGTATAGAGCCTACTCAAAAAATTAAAAATAGAACTACCAAGAGCAATCATACTATTCAGCAATCCCACTTCTGGGTATATGGCCAAAGGAAATGAAATCAGTATCTCAAAAATATATCTTTACTTTCACCTTCACTGAAGCATTATTCATAGTAGCCAAGATATGGAAACAACTTAAGTGTCCATCAATAGATGAATGAATAAAGAAAATGCAATATAAATATTTATGTATTTAAATATTTATCTCATTTATTCAGCTTTTTAAAAGGAAGAAATCCTGCCATTTACAACAACATAGATGAATCTGGAGAATATTATGCTAAGGGAAATAAGCCAGACACAGAAAGACAAATACTGCATGATCTCACTTATATGTGGAATCTAAAAAAGTCAAACTCAAAAAAGCAGAAAGTAAAATGGTGGTTTGCAAGGGCTGAGAATGGGCGAAAAGGTGAGATGTAGGTCAAAGCATAAAAATTTCAGTTATGCAGGATAAATAAGCTCTGGAGATCTAGTGTAAAGCATGGTTACTACACTTGAAATTTGCTAAGATAGCATATCATAAGTATTCTCACCATACACACCAAAAAAAAATGGGAACTATATAAGATGATGAACATGTTAACTAGTTTGACAATGGTAATCATTTCCCAATGTGTATGTGTATCAAAATATCACATATATACCTTAAATATACACAATTTTTATCTGTCAATTAAACCTCAAGAAATCTGGAAAAAAATGTCAACCAAGTCAAAAATGTCAAATAAACAAGATAAAGACATTACCAGATGAATAAAAATTAATAAATTTGTTGGTGGAAGATCTGCTTTATAAGATATTAAAGGAAGTTCTTCAGTCTTAGATTA